AAGTAAACTGAATAATGACATTGGTCATACCCTTGAAAGGACTTTATGTTCTTCAAAAGGAAGTTACCATATAGACCCAAAGTAAACTGAATAATAGCTCGCCTCTTACTCCTCCCTGAAAAGGAGTAAGGGAAGAGTAAGAGGGGAGCTATTATTCAGTTCAAGTCATTTTTTTGGTCTGTAAAAAAAAATCACTTTGAAAGCAATCAGTTTTGCTTAATAGACATGCAGAATATTTCTTAGCACTAATCAGCTCTTTAACACTTCTATGGATTTGTATAAGACCACTTTTTCCTCTGCTCTCCTGTGAAAGTCTACTTAAAGAAGCTGCCACAAATGGATCATTTGCTTCTGGACATTATCATTTCCATAGTGTTAAAGAACTGCAGTAGAGTCTTTGTAGTTGACCACCCAAAGGACTGTACCGAACTGGTCAACATACAGAGGTGGTCAACATAAGGAACTAGGCCTACTGTACTGATGTGTACAGGTGGTGGATGTCCAGTCTATGAAAATCAGGTCAACTTAAAGGAAGCATTCAATGTAGGAAGATCAACTGTGGAGATGGTACTGTATTTGCTGTGAGGAAATGATTATGTCACTTGTTCAGAGAATTCTTTCAATATGTTAGGTTCACCCAGCAAGTTTCCCGGCCACAGACTTTATTTCAGTAATACCCTGGGAGTAATGGAAAGGGATTGATTGGATTTCATCCTCCCTAAGGGTGAATCAGTAGCATCAGTGCCCACATTGTCACAGATAGAGGGGAGAACTGCCCTGCAATGGCTCTGCAATTCCCTATTCAGTCTCAGGCAGGACTGGCTCACCAAGCACTTCTAAAGCCAAAAGACCTATATATATATATATATGATCAATTATTCCAAACAGCTTCTCATGATGGCAGAAAACACCCTTCTAATATGTGACTTCAAATGGGAGAGCAGGAAACTGAAGACCTACGGTGATTTACAATTGAATATTTGAAGTAAAGAATTTCTTTATTTAAAATACACACCTTTTACTCCCAGGAATTCATTGGAAAAGAGGGAGATTTATGTAAGAAACTTTAAATTTAGCCTTATGATTAACCAATACTCAGATTTCAGGCTTTATTGGGAAGACCTCAATTGCATCTGCATGCTAAAAACTTGAAGCCGAGCACTGGGTGTTTTTATTACATGCCAGAGACCCTGTTTATTTCTGCTGTAAAAGAATAACTTGATTTGGAGCCATGTGCATCTTCAAAGCTGACAACTCCTGAGGAATCTGTTGAGGTTCTTAATTGGCCGTGCCAGGTGCTGTAGGAAGAAGTGAGAAATTGAAACCAACAACCTAAGGCTGAAGAGGAGGAGGTGGCGGAGCAGGAGGATGGAGACACCTGGAGGAAGATCTGCATGAGAGAAAGCAGAATGGCAGTTACGTGGGAAGATGAGCGGCCAGGCAGCAGCCTTGAGAGAAAAAGGAAGGGCAACGCGAAAACCAAGATGTCAAAGTTGAAGTTAAGAAGGGAAACAAATTAACTTTCTGAGTTTTAAAAATAAAAACATCTAAGGCTATAAATGGGCGAACTTCCTCTCTCCACCTGTTGGACATTTCACTGCTATGCACATAGCACCTCTTTCAAGAGCTGGACAGAAGGCAATTGCACGCAGTGAGCTTATTTATCTTTCACATCTCTAATATTAGATTAGGTGGGTTAGAGTTTATTATTTCACAGCTCTAATATTAGATTAGGTAAATTAGAGATAATCTATAGATTGCTTTTCCCATAGGGTGCTGAACTTGCTGCCTCAAGACCATCTGTGACTCTCCAAACCCCCAAGCACTGCCTCTGGATTGAATCCAGGCTTCACAGAACAACAAATCCCTTTATTAAAAGGATTTGTTGTATAACATTTAGATTCAGTCAAAAGGCTGCACTCAAGGATTCAGAAGGCCACATGTGGACCTCTAAACAAAAATAGGACAAATCATATATAATCGTGCTGCCCATGAGAGCTTTAGCAGGTGGAATGGAAATGGATGATTTCTAGAAAAACGTAAAACAGATGTTCCTAAAAACCTGGCAAGTCAAGCTGGGAGAAAGAATTCCTCTGACTTATCAAGGGCAAAGAGTCCTCTAGGTGGCGCTGTGCAAATACGAAGGCCGGAAAGTGTTTGAAAATAACACTGGGGATCAAGAAGAAAACCAGGCTTTGCCTAAGAAATTGGAAGGTAGTGTTGACAGGAAAAAAAAAGTTATGAAATAGCAGGAATGGGCATTAATAAAACATAAAGTTTTAGTAAAATACATGTTGGTTTCCACATTCATTCAAGCTGGTAGTTTTTTAGAGCTCGTTGCTACATTCAAACCAAAACATCTCCCCCGGTGTGTTCTTAATTTCTTGGTACTGTTTTAGCTCACTTCAAGATCATGAGGGACTTGGGCTGTACAGCCCGCCCTCTCATACACGTAACTAGCAAATAGAGTCAAAGGGTAATTGAGACATATGAGATAATAATCTATCCTCTCAGATTCTAAGCTGTCCTGATATCTCCTCTTTTGTTATTTTTTTTTATTACATTTCCATTTCAGTATTGCCAGCTTTCTTCTTAAATGAAGGGAAAAAAATTAGTTTTGTCAAGTTCTCCCTCTTCTGACCTTGTAACTATGCTGCTGCACAAACTCTCATAGGGTAAGTGCAGGAAACCATAGCAAGGAGGAAATAACGTTCTAGGGATGTTGAACAATTATAATTCTCTAATCATCACTACTACTGCCAGTTGTGTTCAATTATGCACCATAATGAAGATACCCTTTACTAGTCTTATGCTAATTTGTTTTAATGTGCCACATTTTCTAGATGCCAAGTAGACCTGTTCCAGCCTCTGATGGTGTATCAGGGCAAGATCTACACAGTACAATTTATGAAGTTATTCAGCACATCCCTGCCCAACAGCAAGACCATCCAGAGTAAGTATGGATCTGCATTCCATGGTTCTGTAGAAGGGTTCAGCATTTAGCCTCTGCTATTCCCAGAATTTACTGAAAGACTCAGAAGAAAAATATTAAAATAAGAAATTATAGCTTCTGTACATATGAACACACTTCCCTACCTGAAAATAATTTTGAGAAATAAAACAGGCAAACTCATAACCATCTTCTGGGCCACGTACTTGGGCCAGTGGACTAGTTGCAGAGCTGTAGAATTGACTGTCTGTTCCCTACCTTTCTTCCCCTCACACTGTTTCCCCCAATAAATCCCCACATCTGGGAATGTTTAGGCCAGTTCTCAAGCCATGTTGATTATAAAATGATTTTTTTCAGGGTGGTACCTGTGGCTCACAGGAGTAAGGCACCGGCCCCATATGCCAGAGGTGGCGGGTTCAAACCCAGCCCTGGCCAAAAACTGCAAAAAAAAAAAAAGGATTTTTCAGTGGCTATGGTAGCTTTTAAAGCAATGATGATCTGATAATCTGTCACTAAAACAAAACAGAACAAAACAAACCTACAACACAGTAGGCATCAAACACCCAACCTCTTGCACTTCAAAGCAGTTTATTCCCCCAAGTGATTAGAACCACCGGTGAGGACTGGCTTCTTACTGGAGAGGACAAAACCTGTGCTGAGGCCAAAGCTAGAAAACTAGTCATCCAGCTAAGTTCAAGGCTGCCCCTGAGAAGTCTCCCTCTCTTTCCTGCCATGGAGAAACTCAGCCTACAGTCTTTCAAAATAATGAAATGAACTTTTTTTTGTCAGCTCTAGCTGCCTGAGGCATAACTGCCACAAATCATCTTCCATCATTTTTTTATTTGTCATTTATTGACTCTGAAAAGAACATCAATAACTACACATAGAAACTTCCCCCCTGGCAAAAAGAAACAGTTCCAGCAAAGTAATTTATGCACACCTCTGGGTAAATATCAAAAATAACAGCCAGAGGTGAATGAATGCATGGGAAATCATCTTAGAGGGAGGAAATCCCGTCTCGGGAGGATTATGGAGCCATTTAAGGGGTAAAAAAGTGGCAAAACCCTTCAAAGAACCCCAATAGAGAAAATTTACCTGGAGTCAGATATATTACGAACAGACCCCAGTGGAGCTAGGAACTTCTGGTTTGAACAAAAAAAATGAAAATTGGTTTAAAGCATTGTATTACAAATCTAGTAGAACACCATAATGGAATATTATTTTATGATAGTTTAAAAACTTTCTAAAATGATATCTAACCTTCTTTACTGTCTGGAATAGAAAGTTAGGGAAAGTTTTTCTTTATTAAATATAAAGCCTGAAAAGAAGTTTAATTAAAACATTTATATTATTTAAATTCATTTATTTTTCTGTATATCCTTTATTCTGTGTAATTATTTTTCACATGGAATGCAAACAACCCAAACAAAAATTTGAGGTTTACCTTTTAAGCTTCCCAAGGATGAAGTAAAAGTTGAGTCAGATTGTGAATATGGCAGTTACAATTTCAGAACACAAAAGAAAATGATCAGATTGTTTTTCCACGTCAAAAAAACTGATTCTCTTTTAAAAAAAAAAAAAAATCACGTCTGATACCTTCCAGACATTGACTTCTTAAGAATATAAAAGTTTATCTCAGAAATAAATTTTGGAGGTTGAAAATAAAGTAGAAATGCTCTTTTTCTAGACTATAATGGACTATTCAAAACTGCCATTGAGAACATGCCCCTTCCTTAGAAAGGCTGTCATCCCCAGGACAGCATCTCGCGTTCCCAGCCCAACCTGAGTGACACCTACCTCCCAGGGACTCTGTCTTCTCCCTCCTTCTTCCCGTCTCCTGAGTCTTTCTGTTTGTTTCTCTGTGTGTGTGTCTTTGTCTTCCACCGGCTCTCTCTTTTTTTTTCTGCGTCTCCCTGCTCTTTTCCTCTCTTTTATCCTGTCTCCCTTCTGTCTAATGTCCTTTTGAAAATTTTCCTTCTCTGCCAACATTTTTAAAGTATTATTTCTTGGTGTACGGATTTGTGTTGCCTATTCTAAATTTTAAAAATGAATAAGTAGAAGGTTTTCTTTTTCTTCATGAAAAACTGTTTTGCGCTTATTTTATTTGCAATGAATCCACAAACATTTCCAGGACATTTACCATGTGCTAAGGGGAGAGATTAAGACTCATTCTTTTAAGGATTTCATAGTTTGTTAGGCTTATTTTAACTAAAGATTAGTAGTTCTTGGTAAAATTAATATTCCTTAATACAGTCTAAAAATGCACAAACCATTTTTCTTCCCTGATTATCTACGGTTTTAATGCTCTAGGTCCTATTAAATTTGAAGACAAGTGTATGAATAACACATAATTACATGTGGTTAGTGAGTATCTCCTATCTCCCATTCCCAAAGTGAATGTGCCAGTACTAGGGAAAGAATCCCAACTTCTTTCTTTTATGTGTATGTGACAGTCACTTTTGAGGTAGGAAGGACAGCCAAACCATTTTATCACTTGGCTCTTAGACTGTTCTAACATGGTTATTTTCTTGACTACATGTGCTATTACCTAACTGGGCTGGTGTTTAACAAATTAGTAGATTACTCTGTGTTCATATTCTAGTACTAAGCCCAGTTATTTATTTATTGAACTTATGGCTACATTATTTCAATATCGTCTGTTGACATCATTTTTCTTATTGGGGTTTGTTTTGAACTCAAAGCTGACTGTTAGCATCTTGAAAACAGAATTTTCAAGTAAGTAAACATTTAGTTTCAAAAGGAAATTATCTAAAATTCAATGATTGCTTATTCTTTATATTTATTGTTCGATAAATGTGACTTTCTTGAACCAGTTGAAACATTCATATCATGCAGCTCTGAAAGGAATAAAAGAACTTAAGGTACTTTTACCTGTAGACTTGAAAATCTATGGAATGGTTTACATATCTTGTGTATCTCTTCACTAGGTGAGCTTTTATGGGCAAAGCAGTCCATTGGAGTGAAATGATGAAGGAAAATTTGAGGAAAAACAGAAGAAATGTATATTCATCTGGAATCAGTGAAGACATCAAGTTTATTACCTCTCACTCATTAGTCTTTTTAAGTGCAGGATAGAGGCACTTATGAAAATTAGACTGTAGGCTTTCCAGCATAAATGTGATGTCTTGTGCAACAGAGGAAAATGGTATGGAAATATTCCTCAATGGACAGTCTTTATCATGATGTGAGAAAGAAAAGGACAGGACGGGGCTTTCCAATCCCTCTTTTTATATCCAATTTCTCTGAAAGGCCTATTTAATTCTAATCTATACTTTCACTTTCATCAACCTTGACACTATCCTATCTCACCTACAAATGTGGAAACTTTATACTTGTAAATTTCCAAGCAGGCTTTACTGTTAAGATTGCTATATTTATTTTTTATTTTATTCCCAAATTTATATCTTGTTATTTGTATCACAAAATAATAGGATGGTTGTTACAAGAAAAGGACTATGCCTTCCGTCCTAGGCTGTTGATCACCAGTGGTGTTTTTGAGAAGACTTGTAAAATGCGTAAGGAAATGACTTATTAAAGTCTTATCTTCATTTTTGTTCAAGGAAAGAAGGATTCAAATAAATTATTCTGTCTTTGCTTTTATGTGGCCTTCATTCTTTGTCTTGTAGTGTAAAAGTCAATAGAATTGGATTTTTTTATCCTTATTTTTCAATGTCCACTAAAGACTAGATTATAGATAACTATTAAAGGAAGAATCTTGCTCTCTCATGGCCTAATATTTTCTGCAGAAGAAAAGAAATCTTAAAAAATAGAATTTGTTTTCTAAAATGTTTCAAGAGAATCACTGTATTTATAATGTCCCACCTGTATTTTCATAAAAGTATACAGTAAAAAGAAAATTAAGACTGAAGTCCCACAGCTCCTGTCTAGTTTTCTCTCTCTGCTACCCTTACATATTTTTCTATTAGAAAAGTCAATCAATTCTACCACAGATATTTTCCTGTGCATTTAGTAAACAGCCAACCAACAAACAAAAAAACCCTACTTGATCTAATTAGAAAAGGAACTCATTACCATTGTAAAAATAAGTGTGTACTTGGCAATGTAGAAGACTCCCGATAAGACAATTAAAACCACTTGTAATCTCACGTCTCAGTAATAATCTGTCGGCATTTCCATCAATTAATATGTACCTATTTATTCATGTTCCTTCTGATTCCAAAAGGGATTTATGGTAGCTCATGTAAGCACATAATATAACAAGATAAAATACAATTGATAAGAAAAACAGGATGAAGGAACAATGAGAGATAATGAAGGCAAAATTGAGTTCAATAACCAGCGTGAGGAATCCCTTTCATCTGTGAATATTGTCTTACACTGCTGAGATCAGGCAGCAGGTATGTGATACTGGATGAAGAGGGTCCAGCTGTCACTCTCAGCCAACATGCAGAGACAGGGGTAGGTTCACCAAACTTTATTTGTCTGAAAGCCGGGATTCTGGACAACAGTGAGAGAAGCCTCTCCAAGACTGTTCTGTTCTTCCATTTTCAACATTACAGTTTTATACATAAAAGTTCAAAGCAAAGACCACACCAACCCCTATTCTAAATAATAATCATCATAACTCAGTGACCTCTTAAAATGTTCCAATTCAAAAATTAATCTCCTAAATCAATCTACCTAAACTATTCAAGACAGGCATCTTTAGGATGACAGCTCAATTTATAAAACAGTAAGAATGGAAGACAGGGAGCAAAGGTCAGGCAGCCCGTAACCCGACCAGACCAGCTGTGTCACATCTGCCCTAGCCTGCCTAGTCGACTCCCTCTTATTCTCACTACACGTGCTTTCATACAAGTATATATCTAAGGATGGGCTTTTAAACTGAATGCAATTTGTGAGCAGCAGAGCCCCAGAAAGGTTGCCAGGCCAGGAGAAAGCAGGTCAGATTTTACAGTCACCCATCTACCCAGCTCCATCCTCCCCTCCTCTCTCTGGCCTCTCCTTCCTGGGACTGTCCTGTTGCTGAGGCACCTCTTACTTGGAGGTCACACTCTAACCACAGTGGACAACAGCTGCATCTGTTTTCCCCTTCCTCAATCCAACCCCGAAACACTTTAATCCACAATCTTCAACAGCCCTTTCCTGAAAAAGATAACAGTACAGTCAGATGATTCACGCATCAAACCCCGATTAGAAGCATGCACTAAGGTGACTGTGTTTATTCGTTTGGGGTTGGGGGGTTAGCTATTTTGTGTATGCTTCCAGAGTTTCTCACCACAGACCAAAGGAAATACAAATACATATTCTTCTTTTTTTCAAAATCACTTTTAAGTTGCTTGTAATTCCTCTCATTTCTATATCTCCCTCTCACACACAAAAATACACAGACTCCCTTAGCACATGATTCCACTCAAAGCAGCAAGGGATTGCTGAAGGGAGAAACGTGGAAAGATCTAGAATCCAATTAGCTTTTGCTGGCATTGGTGTGTAACACCGATGACTCACTGCTTTTTTAGTAAATGAGGATGAAAGTCTATAAATTAATCAAGGCTTCCAAGGGAAGTGATGAACCAAAACCCAGATGTTCAGCTAATTAACAAATTAATCTTTAAAAACCAGCCTAAAGTTCTTTCCTCATTACTAAACATAATCTTGGCTTTAACTTTATATTACTACTTCTAACTTGGAATAGAATCATATGCCTGGTGCTTATTATTTTTAAAAAGTATATTCTAATGATAGACATTTAAGCAAAACATTAAAAGTACTTATGAAAAAACACAGTTTTCCTTGGTTTGCTGACATTTGTACGTCCATATTAATAAAACGATTTCAATTCAGCTGCTCATGTACACTCAAGAGATCAAAGTCCATGCGATCCTTCAGTTCCCCTAGACCATGTACCTTATAAAGTTTCATCAAAGTAATAAAAATTAAGTAAAAACACAGTACTTGGCATATAGGTAGGTATTTTACTATATTTAACTAAGAATTTATTTTCAAAAAGTTCTTATTTTCTGCCTCTACATTGTTATGTGTAGCCATGTGTATCCCTAGTTCATTTTATTCTTACATATTTCTTCCAAGTTCATGTTCAAATATGCATTTATATATACACATGTATGTAGGGAGCCAGGCCCTACACAACCCGTAAGTGTCTCTAATGTTTGGTAGTGATGAGGGATGAGGAAAATGAAGACAATAGAAATAGAGTAGAGTTGATAGAGTGGGTTGGGTGGGGGTCAATGACCTTTGTGAGAAAAACAGAGAAGACCCCAATCTTTGGATGTATTATGTTTTTATTTTTTTTAATCAGTCAATGAGTGTTTGTGATAACAATATATGTCATCTTTGTGGTTTTTTATGTCTTCATTTTTATGATTCACCCAAGTATTTTTTAGTTATTTTGATTATTTTTATTTTTTAAGGTATTTATTAATCACTAACAGGATTATATAAAATAAAGGAAAAGGGAAGATGGGCTTTGGAGTTACATGTCACCCAGTTAAGCTTTCATGTTCTTGTAGGGTAGATTAGTTGATGTCTTATTTATCTCAAGAGTTGGGGGGGTATTGACTCTTTTTATCTCACACCTATATATACACACACAGAGAGAGTGACCAAAAATGTATACACATCTTAAGAAAGGAAAAACGTATATTAAAATTGTAATACTCAAGTCACATTTGATTTCTGAAACCACAAAAGGTACAAGATACAATATTTGTGTTTTCCTTTCATGAGGCAGTAAGAGAGCAAAGGTTTCCTTCCCACAGATAGGGAAACCAGACACAGCACTCGGGCTGAACAGTGTTATTCTCCTTTCTTCTCTTCTCCTAGACACTGTTTATTGTGATTACCATGTTAAGTTTAAAGTTGATTAAACTTTCACATACATGACTTCCTTTGATCTTTACAAGAACTCTATCAGCTAGAACCAGTGTGTCCACTTTCCAGATGAAGAAATGAACTTAAATGATTTTCTTTTTTTTTTTTTTGGCTGGGGCTGGGTTTGAACCTGCCACCTCCAGCATATGAGGCCGGCGCCCTACACTTTTGAGCCACAAGTCCCGCCCTTAAATGATTTTCTCAATGCCACTAAACCAATAAGTGGCAGAGCTGATCCTTGAACTACACCGCTGGCTCTAGGTCCAAAGTCTGTTCCAATGCACCACATGATTTCTCTGGGCGTGGCCTCCTGAGAGGAGTGCACGCCATTGTTTTTTCTGTCAGCCTTACCTTGGGAGTTTTATTATTTTCAAAGGCTACTGGGCCCCAAGAAAATAGTTTTTTTATGTGTTTGTTTGTATCCAAGAACTTTCTCATTTGAAGATGGACAGCTCAATTGCTTGCCATCAAGAGAGCATAAACTGGGAGACTTGTTTTTTGTTTTCAAACCCAGGAAGACCCCCACAGAATCCCACCACAGAATCCCACCTTACACTTTCTGAAACTTTCCACCTTAAGCTTTCTGAAACTTCAAGGCAGTCAGTCAGTGTGCCTCATCCATCCCTCCCACCATACACAGGTCAGAACACAGATAATAGATGTTTCTGGAATTGTACTGAGTCGGATTGCCTGGCCTCTGTATATGTAATAAAGACAACACAAATAGGAGGCAAACAAATGACCTTCTTTTTCATAACCAGTTCCTTTGAGTTTTTCTCTCAGGGCCACTTAATCACCTTAATAACTTAATAACTTTTGGAGCTATTTTTTCTTGCAGCTCACTAAGATGTTATTAAAATGTTTTGTCCTTGAGAAAGTAGAGAGTCATGAGAGTGTCAGTGTACAACAATTTTATGCTCATTACTTATAAAATAAATGATAGTTTATGAGTCATAGGTCCTAGGTCAGCAGACATTTTTACCAAAGGAAAAACTAGACTTTCAGGGCCTCAGTTTCCCTATCAGAACATGAAAAGGTTGGACTATGCGATCTCTGCCCTGCTTTGATTTATCCGATAGTGACACCTTTCAAGCAGGTCAAGTGCTTTCGTGTACCCTCATTAGACACCTATCAAAGCCTTTACCAGATGACTTTAATTGCATTGAAGGCCAGGCATATAAAGAAATAATTATAATAATGTGTTCTAAACACAACAGTAGAAGTGTGTAAAAACTCAAAGGCAACACAGAGGAAGGAGTGACTAATTTGTTTTGGCAGCATCCAAAAAAGTTCTTACAGCATCCAGGATTTTGGCGGTCAAAAGGAATTTATCAGCTTTAGAAGAAGGAGCATTCCAGCAGATAACATTAAGTAAGATCTATAATATGCAAGGGACTAGTACAACAAGTAGATATGAAAAATAAAGAACACGTGGATTACCTAAGAGGAAATACAGTAGAACCTCCACAGTTGACCACCTCCCTACACTGACCATCTCTTTAAGTTGACATAAAGTTTATAGATGGCTGAACATATACCACATGTATGCATTAGTATGGTAGGCCTAGTTCTTTATCTTGGCCACCTCTGTATGTTGACCAGTTTATTACAGTCCTTCAGATGGTCAATTTATAGAAGTTCTACTATATTTAGTAAAATTATAAAGCATGTCCAATGCTAGGGAAATACATCTGGTTAGAAATTTCACTTCAGTTATGTTTTTTTGGTTTTTTGTTTTAGACAGAACCTCAAGCTGTCCCCCTGGGTAGAGTGCTGTGACA